GGGGGATGTGACAGATGGACCAGGAGTCCAGAGGACCTTTGGTTAATCCCAGTGCAAGAATGACCCAAAACTCTAGTGGAAAGGATCAAATTGAAAATGCTGAAAATGTTTGCTCTTAATAGTTCATAATTAGATTGTAAATGTAGAGCTACACGATACCAGGATTGTCATAATGTTCAGATAGACACTGGATACTTTTATTGGAAGTGAGGATGTACAGATTTATTTAACAACAAATCGTAGAACATAAATGAGAGATAATTAAAGGATATAAGCCTTCTTACTCTTCAGAAAACAAGCCACTGTCTGAGGATTAGCAGCGATTTATTTTCCACAGAGGTAAGCGATTCTGTGTCAGTCCAAAGGCAGTGAACCTTCTTTGGAGGATCTAGTGTTGGCTGTTCTCCAGGGCAGCACACCAGGCTAAATGGACCTCTGGTCTGATCTAATAGGGAATGCTCTGCAATTCTCTAAAGAGTAACGACTGCAAATTAATAGAATAACCAGAAGACTCAGTGAGGATGGTAGGGCTTTCGTAGGAGGTGTCAGTCCTGGCAGAAGTCAGTTATTTCATTGCAGTAAGTAAATCAGGCTGAGTTCTCCCTGCAGTGCAATAACGACAGATTGGGAGGCATGCAAAGCAGCATCAATACATAAAAATTAAACTACTTTTAATACACAAAGCTGCGTTTAGATAAATGCAGAGCAGGGAAACAAAGGCACAATATTCTTTGAAAGTATGGCTTTTTTATGTTGTTTTGGAGACTAATTTCCATATAAATAAAATGTCAGCTTATCCTGTAACTGTCATGATAAATTGGAGCATTTAGGCTTTTGCGCAAGGTGCTCTTTCTGTACCTTATTAAATTACAGGATCTTGGTCTTTTGCCAAGTGCCAGGTTGAAGCTCTCTCTGCTGAAATGCAGGGAGGGATGTGGGCCTGAAAGTCACAAGGAACCAGCTTTAGTGCCGAGCTGAGAACCCTGCCTGCAAGTCTCCTGTAACGCTCTTGTTTTCACATCTCTCTCTGTAGATCCTTTCATTTACTCATAAAATGTCATTTGTATTAATTTTCCTGTTTCACAGGGCCTTCCAGATTTTAACAGGTTGTCATGACATAGAGTACTTATAGATGCTGGATTGAAAGTGGAGACAAAGCACATCTTTGCCTTCTTGGGTTCCAGAGGTCTGCTGGCAGCAAGCTCCCTGCATTGGACCACCAATAAATGCAGCGCTGCAAACTGCTGTGCTAAGGCTCCCACAATAGGAGAAACACTTGTGGAATTCTTGGTTTTGGGTGCTGGGTACTCTAATATTCCAGCAAGCATTGCCTGCTCAGATAAATCACCTTTTGGCTTTGCTTTCTCCTGAAAGCGTCTGCAGGCTGCTCCTAAACTCCCTGAAGTGAGCAAGTGTCTGCTTTATACCATAGAAGGGTTAGATTTATTCCAGTGGCTGGGTGACTACTAGTACTGTGCTGTGTTCTGAAGCATATGGTAATAGAAAAGAGCATTTTGAATTAATTTGCAGTGAGTTAATAAAGAGATTTATTTGATGAGAGCTGTTTGAAGGTGATGATTCTTAATAACTGAAAAGGAGAGATGTCCAAAAATGAACCTGAAGAGCTCTGAGAACGATCAGGGTTGGGAAAGTAAACTTCAATAGGACTGAGCAAGCTTCAACAAAATACTTTTTTTTTTTTTTTTTCCTTTTTTATTTCTCTCTTTGTTGTAAACTGCTGAAAAAAGAATATGAACAGCTCTTGGTGAGCTCGTGGTCAGGGACCGCGTGGAAAGACTTGGAAATGCAGCGGGAGAGGGGATGTAGTGAGCACAACAGCATTTTGCTATAGGACTATAAGGCTATAAGAGATGATTCTTCTTCTTGCATTTTCTAGATTGATGAAGCTATCATGGCTTCAGTGGTGCATGCAGAATATAGAATATCGAGTAGGTATCTCAACCATATGAAGCATCTGATCGTGCCAAATGTTACTGATATGAAGAGACTTGTTCTATTCTAATCAGTGACAGGCAGGAAAGACTGGCTTGTAGAAAAACATATATATATCTTAGTAAGCACTTAATAATTAATTGCTCTTGCTTAGCACTACGGTGTGCTAGTCTTACAGCTTCCTGTGTGATGTATTTGAAGAAGCTGGGGAAGAGGTCTTACTTGAAGAAGGAATTGCTTGTAGTTAAGGTTACTCTGCCCTCCCATGGTTTAGGATCTGATTCCGGAGTTGCTTACCGAAAGTCTTTTTTCTTCTCTTCCTTTCTCAGCAGACAAAAGTGAAGATGGGAGCTTTGACCAGTCTTGCTGTGTCTTAGTCTAGGGAGTTTGCATTTCATTTAGACCAGGGAGCACATTTGATAATTTTCAGCAGGAACAGCATAGGAGATTTTCACCTGGATTATCCAGTGTATTTACAGATGGTGTTGATTACTAATTTCGAAAATGCTTTAATTAGAAAAGTCCAAAGCCTTTGAACTTGGGGCTATTCTGGTGGTCTCGTTGGCTTTCAGGTTGCACTGAGAGCTGCACAGAGTGCTGCTCCCCAGCTGGTAACACACGGAAGTTCTCTCTCAGGACATGATATTTTTGGCTTTGGAGCCTTTGCTCCTTACAGCTGCTCTGTTGTGGAGAGAGTGGGGAAAAGGGTGTAAGGTACGGGCTCCAGACGGGTTAGGTCTTTATGTGCGGGATAGAAGCAGATGCTTTGAATGCTGAAGGGTTTTTTTTTATATAAATCACTGCAGACAGTCTTTGTAGCATATTTATGTGTAATAAGCTGGGTTTTGTTTTTTATCTTTTTTTTTTTTTTTTTTTTTTTCCATAGGAAAAAAAAAAAAAAAAGAGAGAGAAATTAAAACCACAGCAGTATTTTCCCATGCAGCTCTGTTGAGCATCCTGCAATCTCACATGATCAGCTGTCCTGGTGGGGTGGAGTGTGGGAAGGTGTCAAAATATGTCTCTCAATTTTTTTTTTTTTTTTTCTTAAAAGGGAAAGCCAGATGAGTGCCAAAAGCCCTGTTCTCTTCTTTAGCCCTGCAGTAACAAACTACATGAGTGTATGTTATTAAGATGATAAGATTAAATTTCTAGCTACTAACATGCTATCACAACAGCAAAGGGGGATGAAAGATCTTGAAAAAATTATGAAAATTAGCTTGACGGTCTCCTTTTAATAATAAGATCACTCCTAACCCCAACAGACAGTGTAGGCTAGAATTCCACAGGGCTTTTTTGTGGTCCTAATGATTTTAATAATACTTTGTGCTATGTAGCACCTTTCATTAGAGGATCACAAAGTGCTTTACAGTCACTAATTAATTAAGCCTCACAACACTCCTGTGAGATAGGTAAGTATTAGACATATATTAAGCTGAGACACTGAGAGTTAATGATTTTTTGCTGCATTATTCTGGCAAAATGATGGATGTTTAAGCGCTGTACGTGTATTATATATGAGTGTGGGGGTGTGTAATATATATGAGTGTAAAAGTATTAATTTTACTGTACCTGAACAAAGAGGCCCTACTTGAGTCTGTTGAATATAAATGTGTGTTTTCATTTAACTTGATGCTGCAGCATATTGATGGATAACATCACGGTCTTTTTAGGCCCTTGACTCAGTTTGCTGTTTGTAGACCTGTACAGATATTATTCCGTGGTGTATCACAAGATTCAGACCTCCTCACAAATTCTGTTAAAAAGAGAATATGACTAAGACTTGACCTAAACCTGCAGAGCAAGCAGAAGGCAGCAGCTGAACTGTTGCAACAGGCTTTGATGACAAGTCATCACGTTCAGTAAAAGTAAAGAGTAGCAACAGTGACCCACTGAGAGAGCTGATGATCAGCAGATAATTAGCTTTTGTATTCACCACATGTAAAACAACTGTTGCTTATCAGAATTTGCTTTTTTGTTTTCCTTTTTTGAACCAAGTGCACTAGTCACTATCGTAATTTATTATTGTGAATTAGAAACTGGTTTTAGTAGAGGATTCCACCTTCTGCTTCCAGGTACAAACTGATGTAACTGCAAAACAGAAAAATCTCTGTTAGATACAGGAATTGGGCAGAGGAGCCTTGCCTGGTTTTGAGGGAAAATGTATGTAGCTGTTAGTATTAGTTCAACTAGAAAATAGTTGAGGGTGATCGTATCAGGTAAAACAAACCCACATGCTTTAAAGGATAAGGTCACCGTAAGGAAAATAAGGTACTAACCTCTGGATTATGGATGAGTTCTGCAGCCTGGTACACAAAGCTTGCACAGTTCAAGACACCTTTTCATTTACATCAAGCTTAGTGGTTGTTTTGTTTTTCCTTTCATTTTGGAAACATGACCATTTGCGTGTAGTTAAGGCAGTTCTGTCCTAGCGTCTGCTCAGCAGTTGGCCTCTACTAAATGGCCAAGAATTTCGTTTGTTATTGTGGTGGCATTTTTGAGATGTGTCTGGTTACCCATTGGCAACTAAACTAATACCACTAAATTCATTGCAACTGGAGCTGTAGGCAGCCAGCAGGTGATAACTTGCAATTGCTGACAACAGAACCTGGACTGGAACGTTATTTGTATGCCGTTTTCACTTCCTTTTAACCCAGTCCCTTTACAATAAATACCTGCTGATATATGTGAATTTTCACAACACTTTTCTACAGCATTTATCCAGCTGATTTTCAAAACTTACTTACAGCTCATTTTCAATTTACTTTTTGGTGGACTTTACAGTTTTTGCTTTGCTTTCTCTTGTGTGCGTGTGTGTGTGTGTGAGTGTGAGAGGGAGAGAGAGAGAGAGAGAGAGAGAGAGAGACTGTCTAAGGAGAGCTATGATATTTCTTATGCTTAAGGGAAGTAGAGAACAGACACTATTTGCATAGTGCCCACTAATAGATGCATGTAAATGTACAATAGGCATAACAATGTTTGTAAATAAAAAGCTTATTTTGAATACATAACTTAGGAAGGAAAACCTTTTTTTTTGTTTTGTTTTGCAGATATACAGATCAGCTCTCAAAATGTCTTCTGTGTCTTCCGTGCATCTTCTAAGACAATTGCATTAGCCTGCCTGCTAGTTGACTAATAGAATTAATAATTGTAAAAAGCACTCTAAAGCCACATGCCTTATGAAGTCAATGCTGGGTATGATTTTACAAGTATGTGATCCATTTTTTCAAGTGAAATTGTTAACTGAAAACATTCTTGGCACACAATAAAACATTGTGCAATCTGTTATTTGTCTTAGAAATAATAATTTCGGAGTGGCTATATTCTTTCTGTATGTAACTTATTACTTGCTAGGGGATGGTTTCTTCAATTTAGGAGTACTACAGATGTAGTTTTATTTACATAATATGTCTCTGAAAAACGATAGCAGTAGAATTTCAGCGACAAAAAAATACTGTCTTTTTTTTTACTGTCCCCCTGAGTGGATATCAAGCAAATAAATATCAGAAGGTTTTTCAGAAATGAAAAGTAAAAAGGGGAGAAAATCCTTTTCGGTTGAGCTTCGGAAAGTTTTGATGTTTAAATCAATGTTGTTGTCTTGTTTTTCACTCCCCGAGCGTAGAATACTGCATGAAAGAGCTCTGCAAGGCCATTTCTTTTCCCTCCTCCATTAATGTACAAGCATACGGTTATGTCAGGAAAATTTGAGCTAAAACATCTAGATCTGGAGTAATGTCTAGTTAGACTCTGTACGGTCCAGGTTTTTCTTTTCTCTGCTTTATAGGGATTTTTTTTCTGTCCTCTCTGACTCTCTTCTGCGAGTTGCCATGAAGATAGCAAAATCTCTAAACTTTCCTTATCTGCCAAAAATATCTATAACAAAAACATTTTAAAACATTGCATTCAGTCTTGTTTAATTTTGACTGAGGTAACAGCTACAATGTTTACTTTCTTGATTTCTGATTTTTCTTCACTGCTCACAGTCCAGGCTCCTCTTTCTGTCCTCTAACTGCCATGAAATGCATTTAACCAGTAGTTATTTTAGAAACAGTTTGAGTTGTTTCTAAAGATGAAACCAAGATGAAAAATACAGGCTTAGATGAACACCTACCAGAGATGCCCACCAGTATTTTTAGTGTGTGTCAACCAAAAGTATTCACGGATTCCTGCAGAGAAGCAGCAGTGCTGAAAGGACTGTCTTTATACCTAGAATTATATATGTGCGTATGTTCTTGTAGTAGGCTGAGTCTGTAGAGTAATAGTTCTCTTACCACAGCAGGAAATCCTTCTTTTCTCTTAGTTCTGAGTGACTTCATGGTTCAAAAGTTATTGGGGAAAAAACCAGTGAAATTCAGTGCACACATATCCTGGTGGGTGTGGTTGATGTTAAAGAGGAGGCACTTGCTTCCAAAGCATGTGTGCCTCCTACAATGAGGAATCACAGAGGGCATTTAAGAATCCTGTTAGGACCACACGGAGTGTCGAGATTTCTGTAATAAGAGCTGGCATTCCGTGTGAAAGCCATCTCACTGCAGCCCATGCTGCCTGTGGATCGGCTCAACCACAAAGACAACAGAGCCAGCCCAAGAGACAAGTTGAACACTTCCCTTAAGAAGTTGTCTGTTTTTATCGACGTAACATACAGTGCCCTTTCATGTGGAGCAGATGTAAATAAGAGGATGTACAGACGCCTGTTCTTTTATTTTTAACCTCTGTCCCCAGCCGTACTTCTCAAAGTACTGTTTTGAGAAGGTCATCCTCAGCTTTCAAAGGTCTGGATTTAGCACCATTTGGAGTGCATCAGTGCTGCTCCTAGAATCACCAGGTGGTCCTCCCTTCTCAGAGCTATAAATACATGCGTGCATACATCTATATACTGCCTCCGCACGTGCCCAGTGACGGCGGTCCTGGGACTGGGGCTTCAGTTTGCAGCTTGCATCTTGTGTGTGGTTCTGCAGGCTGCTGCCACTGGACCACACGCAATTTGGCAAGGAGAGGCATCCATCATTGTATACAGCATTGGCAAAGATAAGAGCATAGAAAAAGTTGTAGCACATCTGTCTTCTGCCCATAGCTAGCATGTGAACACAAATGGATCAAAGCTGCTGGTGGTGAATATCAAATCCAGAACCATGCAGTGGAGAGCGAAGGGAAGTTTTAGATAATTTCTTTTTCTGAGTAGGCTGGGGAAGGTGAAGGTTTGTAGCGCATCAGGAATTTGGCTTACTACCTGGTGTGTTCTGGTTATTTGTGCCCCCACAGTGTCCCCTGTCCAGCTAGCAGCTCATTCACTGGTGGCAGGCTGCTTCCTTCTCTCTGCTCCTCGTTGCTGTCCTCTCTGAGCTCTGCTAAGTGGATGCGGCAGGCGTGCCTGCACAGTCAGCAGCGGTGGCCTTGTCTGAAAAGTGGGGCTGAGCAGAGGGGCTGGCGTGATGGGATCCATGTGGGTTCCAGGTGTTCTCTGGGTAGATCCCTGTGCTGCAGCACAGCCATGTCAAATGTCTGGGTCCAGGCCAGTAAAATTTTATTGACAGCGGGCTTCCTAATAAAGTTAGTTTCTCTTTGTTTGGCAAATAGAACTAATTACATGAATAATGGACTGTGGGGCCAGACTCTTGAATATCCATATAATCCTGTCTGAAGTTTATGGGCAGAACAAGGGCGAGCTTTTGCTATAGAGAAACTGATACCTGCTTAGGAAAAATACTTTCTCTGAAACCTCAAAGTTGCTTGCTCTCCTAAATCTGTTTCCTTTATAACTTCAGTGCTCCTGACTATGTCTTTTAGGTGTATTTTTTTGGTAGACTATGTATCATGTGCTTGAACAGTATATGGGCATTAGTCTACGAAGGCTTATTTTTTACCTTAGTTTTTAAAACATGTTTTAAAGGAAATATTTATTTAATGTTAATTCTGCTGAACTGTTATTGTCAGAAAACGTAATGAAAGATGTAATTCACTCACAGCAATGGAAGTGTTTTCATAGGCTTTAAAGTTCTCTTAGTTGAATTAAGTCTCGTGACCATTTTTTTTGATGCAGAGTTCCAGTTTGCTATGTAGACTAAAAGCCTGTTTGATAAAACTCTGAAAATCTGATGTATCTGTATAGCTAAGAATGCTTTAAGAAGTGTTGGACTTGCTGTGTATCTTGAATAATTCCATAGATTTTTTTTTTTTTTTTTTTGTCTCTCTATGGTAGATATGGTCCGGAAAAAGAATCCCCCTCTAAGAAACGTTGCTAGTGAAGGTGAGGTACAGACCCTTGAGTCCACAGGTACTGAAAGTGAAGAGTCTGGAAGGAAAAAAGAATTTTCCACAGAGCAGATGCAAGAAAACACTGACCAGCCTGATGCGGCAGAGTTGAATAACAAGGAGGAGCTTTGCACGCATGTCCAAGAGCCATCTTCCAGCATTAAAAAGGACTTGAAAAGCTCAGTGCTGAGTGAAAAGGCTGGCTTCAATTATGAAAGCCACAATAAGGGAGGAAATGTTCCATCCTTCCCTCATGATGAGGTGACAGACAGAAATATGCTGGCTTTCTCATCTCCAGCTGTTGGGGGAATCTGTGAGCCCTTGAAGTCTCCTCAGAAATCAGATGCAGATGACACCCAAGATGTGGTCTGTGCCCCATCAGGAGATGCAGCACAGACAAATGAGGAGCATCAGATGTCGCCAAAAGCTTCAGATGAAACAGCGCAAGTGCAAAGTGGTCAAACTGATGGCCAAGGCTCAAGCCCGGTCCCCATGGCCTCAAAAAACCCACAAGTGCCTTCAGATGGGGGTTTAAGGCTGAACAAATCTAAAGCAGATTTGTTGGTAAACGATAACCCAGATACGGCGCCTCTGTCTCCAGAGCTTCAGGACTTCAAATGCAACATCTGTGGGTATGGTTACTACGGGAACGACCCCACAGATCTCATCAAACACTTCCGCAAGTACCACCTAGGACTGCACAACCGCACCAGGCAGGATGCTGAGCTCGACACTAAAATTTTGGCTCTCCACAACATGGTGCAATTCAGCCACTCCAAAGACTTCCAGAAAGTCAACCGCACTGTGCTTTCGGGGGTGCTGCAGGACATCAATTCCCAGAGGCCTGTCTTATTAAATGGGACTTATGATGTGCAGGTTTGTATTTTTCCAGTCTCCTCTCTTCTGCTAACTGCCTTCTCAGCTGCAAAGTCAGTTGTTTGCAGAGCCTCTCCTACCTACGCAGTTGAAGTATTTTATGTAACCTGCTTAAGCCAACAGAACCATTCGGGTCTGTTTCAGCCAGAATTGCTGCAGGTCTGCTTAGCATCTTGTGCAGTGGAGGAGCAGTTGGCTTTTAGATCAGTGATATCTCAGTGTAAAGTTTTGCCATTCTGATAATCAATAGTAAAAGATCATAGTCAGCAAGCAGGCAAATTACTATTACTATTGGGAATCACATCTGAAGGATTTACTGTCGTTGAAAGAAAATGGCAAATAATAATGAATAATAACAACCAGACAGACAAAAGACAGCAGCTGGAAATTAAAAATATAATCCTAAATTATCAGCTGCTGGGAGTTGAGATTTGGCTTATTGGTTCTTTATTAAGATTAAAAAAAAAGAAATAGACAAGTCTTGGCAATGCTGTAGTTGTCTTGTGCCAGATAAACAGGATACACAATGGGTATTTAAAAAGGTTTTTAAGAGTAACAGCAATGCACGATGTCCTTCACTTCAGAGAGCGTGCCTCAGTCATTTTCTCTTGTAACTGGAGCAGTGAAAATACTGCATTTCAGATAGTGCTGCAAAAAAGAAAGAAGTGGAGTCAGAAGTTTTTTTTTCTCAGAGTTTCTACTAGTCAGTTAATATGTAATTAGTGAAGGAAAGTCTTTGGTGCGGCCTTTTTTTTTTTTTTTTTTTTTTTTTTAAACTATATCCTCCCACGACTGTGCTGAGAGATGCAGAGAGATGTGGTAGAGTACCTCAGTACTCTGGGAGCAAGGTTCAGTGCTAAGATTTGCATACAAAATGAGTTCAAATGTCCATCTAATTCCAAGAGTATGTTTGCATAGGATGTGATGTCGTAGCACTTAGCAGACAAAACACTAAGTTGTGTTTAAAAGAAATTACAGAATGTGGAAGACATTGAATAACGCTTGCAGAGGCTCAAGCTATAAGAAAGATATTTGGCAAAGCAGGTTAAGATGGTTAATACCTAACTTCAACTAAGAAGCCGAAACAGGAACACAAGTCAGGAACTTGAAGCTTATAAAATGATTTAAACTTCTGCTCTTTTTTCAGAAACTACAACTTCTTTGTGGAGCAGCAAATCAAACTAAGGTTGTTATTACACCTAAACTGCAATTTTTGAACTGCTGTCTTATTAAAAGATCACCTCTCTTGTCTTGTGTCAGACGCTCTCTCCTGTCAAACTGATTAGAAAGCAAATACGTGATATAGTTGAGGGAGGTTGAAAGTGAATAATGTCAGAATATGAAATGATGTTTTATAATTAGCAAGTAGTATGATGTTAATACCTGGATTTCCTGCTATAGTTTCAGTTTGCTGACTCCAGGGACAGCATCTTAAAGCAACTGATCCATGCTGTCAGGAAAACATTCTAACTGGAACAGCTCAGGCATACAGTGTAGAGGAATTTGAGTTTCTAAACACACTTTCATTTCCTCCAAACAATTGTTTCGTTAGGTCCTTAGTTATTTATAGGAAAGTTTATGCTTGATTAGAATGAGCTGGACACTTTTCCTATGCAGTGCTTTCAGAAATAAAACAGATGTGAGAGCTATCTCAGTTTGAGCTGATAGAAGTAGAAATAAAACAGCTGAACCTAGACTATACTTGTCTACGAAACCCTGGCAGTTAGATACTGCAAGGAAGACAAAAAGCGGTAGGAAACAGCCCAGAGATAATCTACTTAAGATCAGTCTTTTCTCAGACAAAAAACATTTTCCAAAATAGAGCAGACAGCCTATACAATGTTGGCAATTTATTTTAAAGAAAAAAATTGGATCTGGAAACTTAATTTTTAAGAGTGCTAATTTTCCCTGCCCAATTTGGGAAGAGAAGATTAAATAAGCTTTTGTGCCAAATGCCATACTTCATCACTTGCACATGCACCAGATGTTGATCCAGAACATGTCAGAAGATAAGTAACTGATTAATATTTTTATACTTTCTCCTCCCCCACTCTCGATACAGAGCTGCTTTGTGAGATTCATAAACACAGTAAAAGAACGTTTGAAAATCCCTTTTGCACCCACACATGTTTATCTTGCTACTATGTCCATTTTGGAGGGTTTTTTTCTCAGGCATCTGAATGTCTGGCATCTCCTGCAGCAGTGAAGAATTGCACTGCTTGGAGCTGCAGTTAAAACTGTTTCAAACTCCTGCACCAAGTGAGGGAATTGAACCCAAATGATCGATTCGTCTAAATTTGTATAGGTATGAGGCTAAAGGGAAATAATCTCTTTGTAGTTAACTTGAAATAGTAGTGGGCTGAACTTAAGGTCTGATTTATTGATCCTTTTGCACTTAACAAACTGTTCCGTTGTAGCTGGGGTGGAAGGTATCGATAGATTTATGGTCTCAGGCCAGGGAGCTGGGTGCAGAAGCCAGGGGATGAAGAAGAGTAACTTTGATCTGGCTCACAGCGGCCAGCTGAAGACCACCATATATGAAGATTGGCGTTAGTGAGGTGTGCATCATAGTTTGCATTCATAACAAAAGCGAAGAAACAAATACCTGCATGCAGAGCAAACCAACATGTAATATTTGTAGGCAGGGATGTGAGGGAGGTGACTCCTTTGCTAAAAATACTTTTGGTTTTAGAGCACAGAAGTAAAATCTATTGTAGAAAACTTTTTTTTTTTTTTTTTTTTTTTTTAAAGACAAATAGAACGACCTCCCCCTAAGGCATTGAATACAGGTTTTATAGGTTTTTTTGTAGTGTAGTCAGCAAAACAGTGCAGATACACATTTGGCTTCACATCACATCCAGCTACAAAAATATTGGGATTGTGTTTTGTAATACATAAGGAGGATTTAGTTGGGAACCTTGTAAATAATCCAAGATTTCTGGCCTTACTTTTATAAAGACTTGTATTTTATTTGAATATTTAATCAAACAAAATTCCATTGTCTTCTCTGAAGATGTGATTTAGGTTTGAAATTTTCAGGTTTGAAATACATATTGCACCCATTTTCTTCCTTACAGGCTTTTATTTCATTAAGTTATAATAAATTGAATAGGACTGCGTAAATTCACTGAGCTGTTTTCTGGAAGATTGACTTGCTTTCTTGTATAGATTTTAGAAAACATTTGCTAGCACATCTTTGAATTCCCAGAGAGATGTGTTTTCAGAGCTTTACTGCTGTTATCAGAATAATACATAGGTTACTCTGAAAGTAATGCTTCCTATTTATTTCCATGGAAACTACAACAGATATGAAGACCACACTCTCATTACTTGATAGATCTACAGACAGTTTTTCAACAAAGTAGCATTAGCTGTGAATTTTCTCCAGCAGTTAACAAGAGCATGCATGCCATGCTCATAAATACCTGCACAATGAGGGTGACCTCTGTTTCACAGCTACTCTGACAGAGTAATTGCTAGGAAAATATTGTCCATGCTGTCCATATTTCATTGGCCCAAACAGATGGAAGTCATGAAGTGCCAAATCCAGATTGTACTTTGGGTGTGGTGGGATGGTCCAGCCAGGATTGCTAGTGTGTGCCACTGTTTTCAAACTAGGACGGGGCCGAGCATTATTACGCTGCAAGAGAAACGTGTTGTTCTCTGGCCTGACTCTGGAAGTTTGAACCTTTTGCTTAGCCAGTGTAATGATGTAACAGAGTTGATGGTTTGTGTGGATTCTAGGAAATCTAGAAGGATCACCCCATTACTATCCCCAGACAGTGCACATCACTGTACTTACTGAGGGCTATGCCTTGAACTTTTTTTCTAATAGGGAGTTTGCATGTTGCCAATCCATGGACTGCCTTTTTAACTCTGGCTCATAGTGGTGACACCACGTTTCATCACTGATGATGATGTGATCCAGGAAATTATCACTTTCAGCCTTGTATTAGTTCAGTAAGTTCCAAGCAAGTTACATTCCTTTTTATTCCTGTGAGCATTTGTAAGATCCATCTGGCACAAATGATATTCCAACATTGCCACCATCATTTGCAACAAATTGGAGCCAACATTCAGCTCCATACACAGTTCCCTGATTGTAATCACTTCATTTGTTCATATGAGCTGGTTGAGTTGCTCTTCATTTTGTGGTGTGACAGCTGTGCGTGGCCGTCCAGAGCATGGCTTGTCTTTCATGTTACTGTCACCAGTATTAAAACACACCACCTACCACCTCCCTGTGCTTACATTCCCTATTTGGTCTCCATAAATGTTCAGCAAGCATTTATGGAAGTCAGTGGGTGCCATTCTTTCTGCATGGAAGAATTTGTTTATCTTTTCTTCATATGCACTCCTATGTCAGATGCCATTTTGTCAGCCTGCCCCTCCCTGCTGTCACGTCGCACAGCAACAAAATGAAAATTGGTGGGAAGGTTCAGCCTCTACTTTCATATCAACAAGATCCACCTCTTATGTCATTGGCCAGCGTAATGAAATAGGAGGTGTTACTTTCAGAGCATCCCTCACATTTGCAGTCAGTTCAGTGGCTCTTGCTACCTTTTCTTCACATTTAGTTAATTGATCAGTCTCTGCAGGCAGCTAGATCTTGGTGAATATTTTAGCCCACAGATGGCTTTGTGTACATACCTAAAGCAACAAACTTCAGGCCAGATCTGAAGACTCAAAGTATAATTCAGCTGACTAAGTTAACAGCTATCAAGCTGAAGAGCATCGCTTTGCTGTTGTGTGATTGACTGTGTTTGATCTTCATGACTCTCTGATGTCAAATGTGGAATAGTTTGGAGACAGGCAAGTTGCTAGCCAGTAGGCAGGAGTCTCTTTTTCCATCCCTGGATATTGTAATGATTAGTGAGTGAGAGCTTCCAACAGAAAGGCTAGAGAGGGCTGTCTTCCACATGGCTTACAGCAAAGGGGAGGACATTGTCCATTGAGGAAGAAGTGGGCTTGAATGCCCTCTGACAGAGCAAGGAAAGGAG